GGAACAAATGCATAAACCTAGAGTTAAATAATTTTTAGCAACTACTATTCTCCACCAGCTTTCTTCCCAGAGATAACAATCCTCAGAGGAATAAGAAGCTCTGCTCTACCTTTGGAGAGGCAGAAAGTTTTAACTCAAGCTCTATGATTTAGGAGGTAGATCTTTGCATCACCCATGGAAGGCTAGTCAGTGACTCCTGCTGTATTAGGCAACTTTCTTGGTGCTAACTATATTTCCTGGGCCATCCTGGGGTGTTGAACTCAGGGCCTCAAGCTTGCTAGGCAGATATTCTACCACTTGAGCCACTCTGTCAGAGCCCTTTTGATCACTTCTGAAGTGTCACCTATGTACTGGCACCAATAGCTTTGGCTGAAAATGTTTACTGTTTACAAAGTGGATTCATTTAAAAAAAAAAAGCTTATAATGCTTTCTAAAGTCTTCATTCAAAGTAGCAATTGAAGGTCTAGCCTCCCCATTTTCTCTCCCATCTAACTACTTCAAGGGACAAGTTAAAAAACAAGCCAAGCTATTAGCACCAGCAAGACTCCTCCTCCTCCTTACTCATTCTTGGGCACTTAGTAGTACTAGCTGGAAACTTAAAAAGCTCTCCTTCCTAAATACCAAAGGTGATGGAGGAAGCGCCCTCTGACCAAGCCCTGTGTGATCTCAGCAAGCAGCTCTAGTCCATCATTAAGTCCATCCGAGCCTCCGTGCCCCCGCAATTGTGTCCTCCGACCCTAATCTAGCACAAATCTTCTGTATCCACATAAAACACCATCAATCCAGTCCAAGCATCTGGGGTAAAAGTCTGCAAACTGACTGTGGGCACTCCTCTCTCCTTTCTTTATCACCTAGGAGCAAAACAGACTCCTTTCCCAGTTCAGCTGGGGGAAATGGTAAGGAAAGATACCTTGTCCTTTCTAAGTAAAAAGGCTTGGATCCCTTAACGATCCCCAGCAAGCCCTGGCCTTCATCCTGGGTGGCAAGACAGTCTCCTTCCCCAGGGCGCCAAGCGAGACCACTACCCAAATGTCTCCACTGACGCCTGGGCCCGAAGACCTCCCCACACACACCTCGGAGCAGCACCGGCCCCCAGGACCCTGCCCAGGCCCCCCACCTCGGAGCAGCACCGGCCCCCAGGACCCCGCCCAGGCCCCCCACCTCGGAGCAGCACCGGCCCCCAGGGCCCTGCCCAGACCCCCACCTCGGAGCAGCACCGGCCCCCAGGGCCCTGCCCAGGCCCCCCACCTCGGAGCAGCACCGGCCCCCAGGACCCTGCCCAGGCCCCCCACCTCGGAGCAGCACCGGCCCCCAGGGCCCCGCCCAGGCCCCCCACCTCGGAGCAGCACCAGCCCCCAGGGCCCTAGCCACGCCCCTTTACCTCAGAAGATCGCCAGCCCCCAGGGCCCCGCCCAGGACCCCCACCTGAGAGCAGCACCAGCCCCCAGGGCCCCGCCCAGGACCCCCACCTCAGAGCAGCACCAGCCCCCAGGGCCCCGCCCAGGACCCCCACCTCAGAGCAGTACCAGCCCCCAGGGCCCCGCCCACGACCCTCACCTCAGAGCAGTACCAGCATCCCACAACGACTCTACCAGCGCCCCACCACAGAGCCCTACTCCCGGCTTCTCCTTCCGGGTGAGTCGCCAGTGCCCCGATGCACGACGGGAGACAGCTCCGGACACACCAATCCCAGGACGCCCAGCTCCCTCAGGACGGGTTCTGTGGCGAGCGTTCCCCGGAGGCGCGGCTGCGGGGGCCCCCTGGAGCGGGGATTTCCCGCCACCGCCCCCTCCCGGATTCCTACACAGCCAGCCACACACTGGGGGCGCTGGAGGCGGGGCACAGGAGGGAAGCAACGAATGGGATCTGTCGTCCAATCCAGGGCTACGTCCTGCCCACCGGGCCGCCAAAGTCAACCAATCAGCGTCCAGGGAGCCTCATTAACAATTCCCCTCCTTCCCCCCCCATACTAAGCTCGACCCAGCTGTTCCTGTTCGGCCGTGGGCACTTGGTAGTAGGGGGAAGTTCAGGGAAGGAAACGCCCACATTCCTGAAACCACAGAGTCCCCAGAGGGTCCCCGCAGTAACTCAGGAGCTTCCACTTCCCCTACAGAGCTGTTCAAGGGAGACGCCAGCCCAGATTCCGCGAGCCGCGGTTGGTCAGAGCGAAAACCAGCTTGCAACGCCTACAACAGCCAAGAAAAACGTCCCAAATGCTGAAAGGCCTTTTAAACAACCTGTTTAAGGATAACGTTAGCAAAATAGCCATAAGATAGGCCATTTCAGTACTACCATCGGCCTTCCATTGACCCTGGGCATCTCTGTCCTGCATCTCTGTCAGACCAGTGCAATGAACAAGTGGTAATTTTATGCTCTGTATGGGGAATATGAGTACGCATAACTCGAAGCAGAGTCTTCCAAACTTCTAGGTCTCCGGACTCTTACCACAGACTTTTAGAAGTGAATGCATGGGGACTGGCAATGTGGCTTAGTAATAGAGTGTTCGCCTACATGCATGAAACCCTGGGTTCGATTTCTCAGTATTACATACACAGAAAAGGCCGGAAATGCCGGGCGCTGGTGGCTCACGCCTGTAATCCTAGCTACTCAGGAGGCTGAGATCTGAGGATCGCGGTTCAAAGCCAGCCCGGGCAGGAGAGACCGTGAGACTCCTATCTCCAATAAACCACCAGAAAACCGGAAGTGGCGCTGTAGCTCAAGTGGTAGAGCGCTAGCCTTGAGCTGAAGAGCTGAGGGACAGCGCCCAGGCCCAGAGTTCAGGCCCACGACCGGACCCAAAAAAAAAGAAGATCAAAGATAAAAAAAAAAAAAACTCAGCGACAGCGCTCAGGCTCCCAGTTCAAGCCCCAGAACCAGCCAAGACTTGTGTGCATGCAAACACACACACACACAAATAAATCCACGCGCCAATTAGTCTCCACTTAACCAGTGGAGGTACGGCTCAATTATCAGAGCACTAGTTTTTTGCCAGTCCTGGGGCTTGATGGGCACTGTCCTTGAGCTTTGTGTTCAAGGCTAGCGCTCTAGGTTCACCCATAGCACCACTTCCAGCTTTTTCTGAGTAGTTTATTGGAGATAAGAGTCTCATGGACTTTCCTGCTCCAGGTGGCTTTGAACTGCCATCCTCAGATCTCAACCTCCTGAGCCACCAGTGCCGGGCTCAGAGCACTAGTGCTGAGAGAAAAACCTAAGAGACTGTGTCCAGGCCTGAATTCAAGTCCTAGTATCAACATAAATAAAATGTGAACATAAATGAATTTTGTACTTAAGCTTGAATCCTAACCCCAAGATAGCTCATGATGCATATACAAACAGTCCAAAACCTAAAAGAAAAAAAAAAAGCCTGAAACACAAATTACATCTGCTCAAAAGCATTTCCGGGAAGGGATATTCAACCAGTTACTCTCCAGCAGTGATCTTTTCAAAGTCAGAACTACAGGTGTGTGATTTGAGAATGGTGCATTTTGGAGTATATATAGTACCTAGAAATTTTACTAAAAGAATCACTCAAACCAGAAAAGAAAAGGAAGAAACCCCATGAATATATTTGCTTTTTAAAAGATGGTACTTATTAACCCCAAATAAATGAATCTCTAACAAAAGAATTTCAAGTGAGTATAAAATGAAACAAAGAATTTCCAACTGTGTGTGTTAGGAGGGGGGTATTTGAAAAGTTCTGTACTTCCTCTACTCAAATTACATCAGAAGTGCCTATAGTATTTAAAATAACTACCATTTACTGAGAGCTAGCTACATCATTCTCTTTACCCAACACTATTAATTCTGAAGAAATAAAGTATGTCTAAAATAATATTTCCATCCCCCACCCTCTTGGAGGCTGAAGTTCAGAGAAGTTAAACAGCTGGTCCAATATTGCATCAAGTAAATAGAGACAAAGTAAAATCCATTTCAGTTGTTCCTAAATCCTTTGCAACACAATTTCCCCTTCACCACATTACTTGTGACTTTATGTTTTTATTTAATTTTTTTTGGGTCCGGTTGTGAGGCCTGAACTCTGGGCCTGGGCGCTCTGCCTCAGCTCTTCAGCTCAAGGCTTGCGCTCTACCACTTGAGCCACAGTGCAACTTCCGACTTTGTTCTTTTTGCTTATGTGGTGCTGAGGAATCGAACCCAGGGCCTCATGCATGCAAGGAAAGCGCTCTAACACTGAGCCATCTTCCCAGCCCCTACTTGTGACTTTAGAAATTTGATCTACCTAATGCATTTTCTGTGAGTATGAGTAATGTCAGAGTTAACATCTAAGTTACTCTTAGAAAAGAAACTTTAAGGGTCTGAATAACATAAAATATCACTATTCTTGGTGTGTGTGTGTGTGTACTAGAACTTAAACTCAAGGCCTTGCACTCTTCCTTGGCTTTTTTTTACTCAAGGGTATTGCTCTGGCATATGAGCTATGAGCTACACCTCCTTTTCTGGCTTTTTTTCTTTTTGTCAGTAGTGGGACTTGAACTCTGGGCCTAGGCCCTGTCCCTCAGCTCTTCAGATCAAGGAGAGGGCTCCATCACTAGAGCCACAGCACCACTTCCGGTTTTCTGGTGGTTTATTGGAGATAAGAGTCTCACGGACTTTCCTGCCCAGGCTGGCTTTGAACCCTGATCCTCAGGTCTCAGCCTCCTGAGTAGCTAGGATTACAGAGGTAAGCCACCAGCACCTGGCTCTTCTGGCTTTTTGATGGTTAAATGGATGTAAGAGTCTCTTGAATTTGTCTGCATCAGCTTGAAACAGCAATCCTCAGATCTTAGCCTCCAGAGTAGCTAGAATTACAGGTGTGAGCCACCTGAGCCTGGCTAGGGCTAGGTTTCTTACAAGGCAATTCTCCAAAGCTCTGAACAGTGCCAGGCTCAGCAAAATTTGCATAAATACAAATCAGGTAGAATACAGTGGACTAGTTATGCTTCCCCTCTCCCTCATTAGGGAGAGATTTTATTATTCAAACGAAGAAAGAAAACGGTCATCTTTTCTGGTGGAAAAATTTTATTCAGTTCTGGAATGGACAGGAAAAAGGGGAGTAAGGGAGGGTAATAAAACAAACCTGAGATGAAGAAATGATAGAGGAGAGTTGGATCAGCTTCATTTATTGGAGGTAACTCTTACTGACTTTCCTTCCTGGGCTGGCTTTGAACCTCCGGTCTCAGCCTTTTTAGTAGTTAGCCTTACCAGCGAGGAGTCCCCAGCGGCAGGCACAAGCGCGGTCTTTGTCTAATTCTGTGGGCGAAGGGGGGGATAAAGACTGGAGAATGGGTGCTCCAGGAGGTGAAAAGTGTCGGCACAAAAGCCACCCATTGACAAGGACAAAAGGAAAATTCAGGAACGCAGGCGCCGCCTAACAGAGGTATTTACCTTTTTTCAAGGTGGGCAGTGCCGGCCTCGAAGAGGAAGCAATCTCCCGCCGTGGAGGAGCCTCGGGTTCAAACTGACGGAGATGGACATTTACAGAGATTACCAGGTGTTGGAGGAGCAGACATTTGGTAGCTCTAAGTGAGGAACGTGTTGAGAAAATGTGCAGGACGTGAATCACAGACCTCCCAGAATAGAATGGTTTTCCCCAGACAAGATCACGGTCTAGTGATCTAGTCCGTGGGGCTCCAAAACAAGTCGCGGCGCCTTGGCAGTTTAAAGTCGAAAACTCCCTACAACCCCCGCAAAGTCTGCGTGTGCTGTGGGACGCGCGGGTCACCCTGGGATTTGTAGTCCCGGACGGGCTCTAAGTCCCATGATGCCGTGCGGCGGGTCGTCGCGCCTGCGCGGTGAGGGCGGCGGGCCGCGCAGAGTGAGAGGCTCTTTTGTTTGGCGGAGGGGAGGGCCGTCGGCCGGGCCTGCGGTACGCCTCTTCAGAGCGAGGGTCGACTGCGGACACCCAGCGTGTTGCTTTCTTGGGCACCACTTGCTCGTCCCATCCAGTACGACGCGCCAGTCGCGCGATACCGATTTCTCTCTGACACTTGGGCGCTGCTCTGAGGTGAAGAGCCCCTCCGGGCGGCGGGAGGGGGCGCGGCGCGACGCGGCGGCGGCGGCGGGAGCCCGGGGTGTGGGGCCGCGCGCGTTCTAGCGGTGGAGCCGGGAAGCGTGGAGCGCACCCGTGCGCGATGCCCAGACTTCCCTTCCCGCGCGGGCTTCTCCGCCTGGCGCCAAAGGCTTAGGCGGCAGCTGCGTGGTGGATGGAGAGGGCGGGGCGGTGGATTCGGAGCCGCTCGGTGTGGAGAGAGCACTTGGCGGGGTCTTCCGGGCCTGGGGAATGCGACCTGATACTGCCGGGGTTGGGGAACGAACCCGGAGACTGTGAGGGGACAGCCTGGATGCTTGGGGGTGCTTGGCGGGGGCCGATTGCTGCTAGATCGGGGGTTGTTAGGAAAGGTAACCTGAGGCTTTGGGGTCCCGACGAGGTTGGAGGAAGACTTTTTCTCTTGCTGGGTTAAGGAAGAAGAAACTTGGGAGAGGGGACTGGGCGGCCGGGGCGTGTCAGGGGGGAAAGAGTTCCGGTGAATATAAGTCGGGGAAGGGAGAAAGATCAGGTAGTTGAGTTTCCCGGAAACTTAGGATTACGAGGTCCCGAAGGTACTCTGGTAGTGTGAGAGGAAAAATAAAAAGGGGGGACAAAAAATCGCCTTTGGTTCGTGAAGTGTTTGGCGTAAGGAGATTCTAATAGCTGTGACGCCGGGCTTCGGTGTCCTCAGCTACTCTGGAGGCTGAAATGTGAGGATCGCGGTTGGAAGCCAGCAGGGGCAGGAAAGTCCTCGAGACTCCTACCTCCAAAGAAGCGCCTGGAAGCCGGAAGTGGAGCTGTGGGCTCAAAAGTGGTAGAGCGCTAACCTTTAACACAGAACCTCACACACAGCACCTAGGCCCTGAGTTGTAGTCCAGGACACACACACACACACACACACACACACACACACGGAAAAGGCTAAGCAAAAAATGAAATCCGCTTTGTTCCTTTTGTTGTTGTTGATTTTTCGTTTCGGTGAGATGAAAGTGTGCTGTCCAGGCTGCTCTCCAACTCCTGGACTCCAGCTACTCTCCCACCTTAGCCTCCTGAGAACTAGCACTACAGATTATACCTCTGTGCCAGGTTTCCAGGGTTTTGTTTTTGGGGTGTTTTGGTTTTTGTTTTACTACCTTCATTCACTCCGTGGCCAAGTGCAACTATTGCTTCAGTTCAAAACGAGTTTCGTGTTCACGATTAGGATCGTTACTGGTTTCATAAAAGGTGGTGGCATTATAAAAATGCATAGATGACTTAACAGTTAAGTTTAGGGGCTGGGAAGGTGGCTCAGTGGTAGAGCGCTTGCCTTGCATGCATGAGGCCTGGGTTCGATTCCTCAGCACCACATAAGCAAAAAGAAAAAAGCGGGAAGTGGCACTGTGGCTCAAGTGGTAGAGCTAGTACTAGCCTTGAGCTGAAGAGCTGAGGGACAGCGCCCAGGCCTAGAGTTCAGGCCCCATGACCGGATCCCCCCCCCCAAAAAAAAAAAAGAAAAAAAAATAACTTTATGAGATAAAATTTTTCTTGTATGTTTGTTTTCAAGGTAACCTTATTAAAAAATGAATAGGAAGTGAGCAATCCATTTTCAATGCTTCAGGAGAAAATTTATATAAAGATGAGTTATAATGGAATGTCTAGCATCTCAAAATTGTATTAAGAATTCATTCAGGCCCATACACTGGTGGCTCACACCTGTAATCTGAGGATGCCAGTCCTGGACTTGAACTCAGGGACAGGGTACTGTCCTTAAGCTTTGGTGCTCAAGGCTAGCACTCTACCACTTGAGCCACAGTTTCACTTCTGGCTTTTTAGTGATTAATTGGAGGTAAGAGTCTCATGCATTTTCCTGCCCTGCTGGTTTCAGACTCAGCTTCCTGAGTAGCTAGGATTATAGGTCTGACCCACTGGCTCTCAGCCCATGTGACTCTTACCTCCAGTTAACCAACAACAACAAAAAGCTCAGGATACAGGCCCTGAGTTCAAGCCCAGGACACACATACACACGGTGCATTTAGACAGTTTGTCTAAGATCTGTGATGTTTGGCAGGGTATGGCTATTACCCTGATGTGTTTGCCTTAACCTCATTTTAAAATGTATTTGCCTAGATATTAAGCATAGAAAAGGTTTGCAACCTTCTGTTATTTTAGGCCTCATGAATATTTGTTCACACACACACATGTATTACTGGGGGTTGAACTCAAGGCCTTAAACATCTGAAGACCTAATTTCTGTTTTTAAAGTATCTTAGCCTGGGGATATAGCTCAGTAGAGCACTTGCCTACTAAGCACAAAGCCCTGGGTTCAGCCTCTGGTACCCCAAAACAGAAACTCAGTTCTGTATGTGTGTGCTGATGTGCTGGTACTGGGTTTAAACTCAGAGCCCCATGCTCTTGCTTAGCTTTGTCCTTCAAGACTGACATACTGCTGGCTCTATCACATGAGACACACACCTTCATTTCTTGCCCCTGCCCTTGAAACATGATCCTTGTGTCTCAGGCTCCTAGAGAACATGTGTGAACTACCTGATGTGTGTGTGCACCCATGTACAGGTAGCTGCCTGCCTGCCTGCCTGTACTTATAGCTTGAACTGAGGGCCTGCGTGCTGTCTTCTAGCTTTGTCACTCAAGGCTGGTGCTCTACCACTTGAATCATACCTTCACTTCCAGCTTTTTGCTGGTTCATTGGGGATAAGAATCTCTGTTTCGTGTACCCTGGTTGGCTTTGAACCATGATCATCAGATCTCATTCTTCTCAGTACCCAGGACTTAGATGTGAACCACCAGCTTGCAGCTTGGTGTTTTTGTTGGTTTTTTTTTTTTTGTCGGTCATGGGGCTTGAACTCTGGGCCTGGGCGCTGTCCCTCAGCTCTTCAGCTCAAGGCGAGTGCTCTACCACTTGAGCTACAGCGCCACTTCCTTGGTGTTTGTTTTTAAGCAAGATCGAGCTTTATGGCACAGATTGGCCTGGTACTCTAGATTCTCCTGCCTGTGCTTCCCAAGTGCCGAGATCACAGGTGTGTACTAACATACCTGGCTCTAGTCATTTTTATTTCACCTTAAACCTTAAGAGATTTACTTTAAGGCATCACTGTGTTCTGAGATTTCCCAAATTCCTGTGGCCTCTCAACTCAAAGCTATACAGTTTCATTCTCTCAACAGATTAGACTAATTTCTGAATACATCACAAATAAACTCAAACTGTATTCACATACCAGTATTCTATCCTCAGAACCTCTGGAATTCAGAAGCATGGATTCACCTGCACTGGTGTCTCACCCCTATAATCCTAGCATCTCATGAGGCTGAGATCTGAGGATCACAGTTCAAAGCTAGCCCTGGCCGGAAAGTCCATAATATTCTTATCTCCAATCAACCACCAGAAAAATGGAAGTGGAGCTGTGGCTCCAAGTATTGGCACTCTAACCTTAAGAGCTCAGGGACAGTGGCCAGGCCAAGTTCAAGCCCTATGACCAACAATAAGCACAGGGGGGGCTGGGAAAGTGGCTCAGTGGTAGAGTGCTTGCCTTGCATGCATGAGGCCCTGAGTTTGATTCCACAGCATCACATAAGAAAAAAAAGCTGGAAGTGGTGCTGTGGCTTAAGTAGCGCTTAGCCTTGAGCTGAAGATCTGAGGGACAGCACCCAAGCATTGTTCAGGCCCACGATCGACAAAAAAAGAAAAATTTACCTTAATCTCTTTCCTATTCCAGCCCAAACTTGTTTATAATGGTGCTTTATTTGCTTATTTATTATTATTGGTCTTGTCAGTTGTGGGGCTTGAAACTCAGGGCCTAGGCACTGTCCCGGAACTTTTTTAACCCAAAGATAGCGTTCTACCACTTTGAGCCACAGTTGTACTCTGGTTTATAAATAGTTAATTGGAGATGAGTTTCACAGACTTTCCTGCCCAGGGTGGCTTCAAACCTAACTGTGTGGTCTTAAGTGACTATTTAAATCTAGTATCTGGGGCAGAGAGAACAAATGAATGTTTCTCAAACGATAATTTTGTTTGTTTTGGTCAGTCATGGGGCTTGAACTCAGGGCTTGGAGGCTGTCCAGATTACCCTTTAAATAGCCAGCAAAAAACGACTGAAGGTATGGTTCAAATAGTAGTAGAGCATAGGCTAACAAGCTCGAGGCTACCTTCAAACCCCTGTACTGTGTTGTGTCCCCACACACACCCAGAAAAAGAAAGTTTGCCCAAATAATACAGAGATCCTATAGAAATTAACAGTACAAAAAAGCTGGTTGCTGGTGGCTCATGCTTGTAATCCTAGCTAGTCAGGAGGCTAAGATCTGAGGACCACAGTGAAGCCAACCTAAGCAGAAAAGGCTGTGAGACTCTTTATCTCCAATTAACCACCATAAGACGAGAAGTGGCACTATGGCTCAAGTGGTAGGTTGCTCTCCTGAGCTGAAGAGCTCAGGGACAGTGCCCAGGCCCAGAGTTCAAGCCCCAAGACCAACAACAACAACAAAAAAGACACCAGAAAACAAGTAGAAAAGTAACTACACACCAGAAAAGGCTAAAAATTAAGCAGACTGAGTTAGGAAAAGCCAAAGATATACAAGCCAGTTTATGTCCCAGCACTCCCGAAAGGTCACTAGTTCCAGTAGAGATGTGGGTAGGATTTAAAAGGCAAGGATTAAATGGAAAATTGAAAAATAACTCAGTTCCAATAACTTCTATTATGGCATATTGTTATGATTGCCACATTCTGTACTTTTCTATCGTACCTAATTTATAAACTAAACTATCATATGTGTACATAGCTTATATATACATACATATATATAAAATTCAGAGAGGTGGTGTTTATTTCTTTCTCTTTTTTGCCTGAGGCCCAGTCTTGAACTGGATATCTGTTGCTTGCTTTGGCTCATTGACTGGTGCTCTATGACCTGATCCATGCCTCCAACCCAGAGAGATTATATTTATAAAACTACTTTTCCCAAGAATAATGGGAATGCCAGTTTTACCCCCAAATTGGTATTGTTGTAAACTAATAAAGAATAGTAGCATCTTTTTCCTTGCTTTAGGTTATCTGCCATATTCTTACATCTTCCTGGACACCTGTGATCCATCCATTTCTATACTTCATTGCCTGTGGGTTTTATTTTTTATTGATATCTTGCAGCACTATCTACTCACACAAATGGGTAATTAATAAGGCTTTAAGAAGTTAAGAGTTGGGCTGAGAGTGTGGCTTAGTGGTAGAGTGCTTGCCAAGCATGCTTGAAACCCTGGGTTCAATTCCTCAGTAACCACATACATAGAAAAAGACAAAAGTGATGCTGTGGCTCAAGTGGTAGAGTGCTAGCCGTGTGCTGAAGAGCTGAGGGACAGCACCCAGGCCCAGAAGTTCAGGCCCCACGATGGGCAAAAAAGGAAAAAATTTATAGAGCTGGAGGAGTGGCTCAAGTAGTAGAGTGCCGACCTCACAAGCATGAGGCCCTGACGTCAAACTCCAGTACTACTCTTCCAGAAGAACTAGAGCTATAGAAAACTAAACTTTTATTTATGGTGTTAGCTACTAGGGACTGAAGCAAGTGTCTCATACATTCTAGGGAAGTGTTCTGCCACTGAGCTACAGCCCAGTGGTATACTTAGAACCTAGAGCTGGCTAGCTTGCTTGCTTGGCAATTACTTTACCACTTGAGTCACACCTTTAGTCCTGCTTTTTTTACTGCTTATTTTTGGAGAACAGTCTTGTAGATGTTTCTGCCCAGATTGGCCTCAAAACATGATGCTCTGGAACTCAGCCTGGCACAAGCCACCAACTAAGATTACAGGCATGAGCTACCAGTACATGGCTCTGATAACTTCTTTTTTTTAAATAAACTCAGATTCTTTTGGTTATAGCAACCTCTATTCCTCACTTTTTCCCAAATTATTGCAGTATTCCAATTTAGAGGGTTTTGTGGTCATTTTAATTGGGTGTGGGTGTGTGTGTGTCTTGGGCTTGAACTCTAGACATCCTGCTCTCATTTGGCTCTTTTGCTCATAGCCAGCACTCTACTATATCTGTACTTTCAGCTTTTTGATGGTTAGTTGATGGTAAGAATTCCTGAGATTTGTCTGCCCTTGCTGACTTTGAACTTCAGTCCGCAGATCCCAGCCTCCTAAGCAACTAAGATTCTAAGTATGAGCCATTGGAACCTGGCTTTTTTATTAGTATATATTATTTATGTAAAGGGGCTTCATTATGATATTTCCAAACACTCATGTAATGTACTTTGTTTGAATTTACTTACTTTGTCCCCCCCCCCCCACCTTTTTTTGGCAATACTGAGGCTTGAACTCAGCCTCATGCTTGGTAGGCAGGCACACTGTCACTGAACCACCCCTCTAACCCTTTTTTCTGATGGTTATTTTTGACATAGGGTCTCACTTCCTGCGTGGATGTGTACATGGGCTTATCTGCCTATTTTAGGCTTCCCATTGTAGTTTAGATAACAGTCATGCCCCTCTTTATCTAGCTATAGGTTGAAAAGAGTCTGTTAAGCTTTTCTGGTTCAATGGGGCCTCAGACTGCAATCTTCCCAATCTCAACCTCCCGAGTACCTAGCATTACAAGTGTGAACCACTAGCACCTGGCTCCCTCTCTTTAAGACAACTTACATAGGCTATCTTCATTATTCTGTTTTCATAAATGCATATCAAGTTCTTGAGTCATGTTTAGCTTTTCCTTTCACCCCCTGATGCCCTTTGTAATGCTTTTTATCATTTTAGCGGCGTCACCCTTTACACCAGAAAGCTGGCGGGCACTATGGGAAAAAAGCAAAACAAGAAGAAAGTGGAGGAGGTACTAGAAGAGGAGGAAGAGGAATATGTGGTGGAAAAAGTTCTTGACCGTCGAGTTGTAAAGGGCAAAGTGGAATACCTTCTAAAGTGGAAGGGTTTCTCAGAGTAAGTTTCATTAAGTCACTATCTGGAATCTTTTTTTTTTTTTTTTTTGGCCAGTCCTGGGGCTTGAACTCAGGGCCTGGGCACTGTCCCTGAGCTTCTTTTACTCAAGGCTAGCACTCTACCACTTCTGCCACAGTACCACTTCCAGCTTTTTCTGTGCATGTGGTACTGAGGAATTGAACCCAGGGCTTCATGCATGGTAGGCAAGCACTCTACCACTAAGCCATATTCCCAGCCCCCACACCTTATAACGTGCTGCCTCAGTTCTGATGGATAGTTGGACACCGTCTGGCCTCCACGTCTTTATAGTCTGATAAGGAGGGGGTCTGCATGCACAGTGTTACAATGCTGGATGCTAGTGATTCTGAGGAACAAGGTGTGTGTTTGTGTGTGTAGACCAGTATATGTTTGCAAAGAAAAGTGATCTTTCCTTGAAAGAGGCAAGTTTCTAAGTTTTCCATATGTAATAAATTTCAACCTTCCCAAGTTCTTGGTCTTAGACAAGAATCTAGCTATTCATTATTAACTCCTCCTGTCTTCCTGTGCTCCCGCTAAGTGCGTGACTTGCTGTGCCTTCTGGTTTCAGTGAGGACAATACATGGGAGCCAGAAGAGAACCTGGATTGTCCCGACCTCATTGCTGAGTTTCTACAGTCACAGAAAACGGCACATGAGACAGACAAATCAGAGGGGGGCAAGCGTAAAGCTGATTCTGATTCTGAAGATAAGGGAGAGGAAAGCAAACCAAAGAAGAAGAAAGAAGAGGTAAGACGAAATATTTTCACTAGCCCAGAATTCATGTCTTGTTGAGCACAAGGCCAAGCCTTTTAAGCAACTTCCGTCCGCCTCCTCTTGAATTTCTGCGGCCATCTGTTAGTCCTTCTGAATTCTGAGATAAGCTGATGGTAAAAGGATTTGGAGGCTTACTACTCTTGTGAAAGCCCCAGAATCTATTTTTTGTCCATGGTATAAGACTCATACTGTGCAACACTCATTGGAGTCAGACATATATAGAAAGTGTCATTTTGTGTAAATAGCATTCAGTGTTTTTCAGTTAAGAATTATTATAGTACTGCTCGGGAGGCAGAGATCTGAGGATCTTATTTTGGAGTTAGCCCCAGGCATAAGAATCCCAGAGATGCTTATTTCTAATTAACCAACAGATCTGAGTTCAAGACCCAGTACTAGCATTAAAAAAAAACCCACAGGTGGCTCTTTGTGACTTATTCAATACCTTAATTTGTCTTTTGAGGATGAAGAAACAGTTGTAAACATTTATTTTACTTGGGATGTGTGTTCCTTCTCGCGTATGGGAGGACTTCATGCGCTTCAGACCTTGATGGAATGAATACTCGCTCCAAAGGATTCTAAAAGGCCTGGTGTTTGAAGTCAACATGTTAGTAAAATACTGACAAAAAGAGCTTGAGATTACTTTAATCAGATGCACAGGACTAACTTCATTCTGGGTAACAATCCCATAGAGATAAAACTGTTCTGCTCATCTGGTTTTTACAGTCAGAAAAGCCACGAGGCTTTGCCCGGGGTTTGGAGCCGGAGCGGATTATTGGAGCTACAGACTCCAGCGGAGAGCTCATGTTCCTGATGAAATGGTGAGTCTGCCAGTGGCTCTGTGTGGTTTTTTCCTTCTTCCCATCTGTTCCATGCCAGAGGAAAAGAGCTGGATCTTCGAAATTCCAGTCGCCCAGGTGTGAAATCTTTAAGATGGCATAGTCCTTCGATAGTGACCCTCAGCCTGACTGCCAACCTGGACTCATGAGTTACAGGTAGGGGCACTTAGGATTCTCAGATCTTTGCCCTTTTTGGTTTTGGTTTTGGTTTTTGTCTTTTTAGGAGGTGGGAAAAAAATCTAGAGTGAAAATGGTATGGGGAAGAGTCACATTTCAGTCTGAAAGTAAAGGGGAAAAAAAAAAAAACACTTGAAATGTGATTGGTCTGACCTTCCCTTCTGCCACCTCCTTAATAGAGATCTGGCTGACCATAGGATCCAGATATTCAGTTAAAGGTTCAGATTAAGAGAGGATTTGTAATACTTCCTTTGTAGATTCAGAATCAGCCAGCAGGGGTCAGCAAGGCCCCTTCACTATTATTGAGCATAAAGTAAACCTACTTTTTTTTCCATGATACTCAGGATAGTAGTACAGGCAGGTGTCACAAACCAAAAGAAATGTGTAACATAATTGTATGTGCAATACATTTCTGTGACTGGAAGCACAGCGGGTATGTTTATACCACTATCACCACAACATGAGTGATTGTACCGCCATGTCACTAGAGTGGTAGCTTTTCAGCTCCATTGTAATCCTTTGAGGTCACCGTCAAACATTGCTATGTTGCCCATGACAGCACTCTTAACTTTAATGAAGACAGTTCTTGTGGAACCTTAAGACTTATAATTAACTTAAAATTCTCTATAACTTCCTTATTCTCTGCCCAAAAAGAACTTTTTCTTGGGAATTGAAAATGCTTTTGCTGTAGGGCACCAGTGGCTCATGTCGGTAATCCTAGCTACTCAGGAGGCTGAGATCTGAGGATCACAGTTCAAAGCCAGCCCAGGCAGGAAAGTCCATGAGACTTATCTTCAACTGCTGGAAGTGGCGCTGTAGCTCAAGTGGTAGACCTCTCGCCTTGAGCTGAAAGCACCCAGGCCCAGGGTTCAAGCCCTACGACCAACAAAAAAAATAAAATGCTTTTGCCAAACTTTTTCTCCAAAATGGGCCTCCACCAGTGTCCTTAAAATATAAAGCTCTAACTTTAAACTTCATAGTAGGATTTACTAAGTACAGCTAATGTGCACTTCCTCTATTTGTAACCACTTTGAGTTACAGTGGTATCTTTTTATTGCTGTACTTAACATTTCATTAGCTAGGCACTGGTGGCTCATGCCTGTGACTGGAGGATCCTGCTTTGAGGCCAGCCTAGGGAGAAAAGTAAGATTGTATTCTTTCCTTTGGTTAACTACCACAAGTTAGACAGGATTTTGATTATAAAAACCAAGTCTTCCATTTTTTTCTCTTTTATTTTTTCTGATACTGGGGTTTGCACTCAGAGCTTCAAACTTAGCAAGCAGACACTTTGCCCCCCAGCCCGTTTTTTTCCTGAGGATAATCTTGTACACTCCACCTACCTATGGCCTCTCCTATAGCTGGGATTGCAGGCACATACCATTTCAGACTAATTGGTTGATTTGGCGTCTCAGTAACTTGACTTAGGTTGGCCTGAAGCTACATAATCCTGAACTTCGCCTCCTGAGAGTAGCTGGGAGTAGAAGAGACATGTATGGCCATGTCTGGCCCATTAAAAAATGATTTCTCTGTGTCTGGAAGAAGAGTTCAATGGTAGAGCATTTGTCTAGCATATACAAAACTCTAGATTCCATCACATACACACATAATAAAAGTATTTTGTTTTGTTTCCTGGAGAGTAGAGATACCTGATTGTTTCTGAAAGTAGTAAATATTCCTCTCAGCATGCCTCAGATTACTCAGACTGATACAGTCCACAGTCCATTTTCCTCCCTTTCTCTTGGTTTGCTTGCTCACAAAAACAACTTTACCAGCTTTATTCTACAGTTCCCTTTACGATTCTGGAGATTTGGGGTGGTACCTTGTTGGTGATATATCTGCTGCCTGTCCTATATTAATGCTTCCATCCAAGATACCCCCCAATGATCCTAGGGTTTTACTCCTGGTTCCCTTAGAATGTATGGCTTTCAGATTTTGAGAACATTTTAATTGGGGAAATATATAGAGAATTATGGAACAACCATCTTCTAATCTCCTCATTGAAGAACCATTTCAAAATATGGAAATTGTGTGAAGATGACATTTGATAGTGTCAAACAGCATAATTTTGAGTAACCAAGAAAGTGCAGATCGATATTGAGCCCTACAAAGTACAGGTGGCTCTGTGAACAGTCGGCTGGAATGCTGCTTTTGGAAGAGTGGGTGCTCCTCTTCTTGGGATTCTAGAGAATCGAGTTTTTTTGGTTTTGCCTTTCTGAGAATCCACTGAATTTTTCTACAAGGGAGGATTTCTGAGGATGTCACTTGTCTGAAAACTGGCAGTAAATGCCACATGGGCCATGTTTTCACCATTCCCTAGCTTGTTTCTTGGGTGCTCCAAGTTAAAAGCAGCAGCAGCAGCAGCTCTCAAAGTCTCTCTGTGCTTTATTCTGCAGGAAAAACTCTGATGAGGCTGATCTAGTCCCTGCCAAGGAAGCTAATGTCAAGTGCCCACAGGTTGTCATATCCTTCTATGAGGAAAGGTTGACGTGGCATTCCTACCCCTCAGAGGATGACGACAAAAAAGACGACAAGAATTAACTCTCCAGAGTAGCAGCCCCTGTCACCTCTGACTGTGGGTTGGAAATGGGGAGGAAGGAGTTCTCCTTGTCTTGACACCATAAGGTGGCTTGAGAAGATGTCCTTTGAAGAGCCAGTATCGTTTCTATGCCCTGCAGCAGCCCAAGTGCTTTAAAGCCGTTCCACGCTCTATAGTTTGCACACCCATCCCAGTGGAGGGGGAAGGGTTAAGTGTTTCAAGGCAACCCACTCTGCATTTTGCTGAGAAAGGCAAAGGGCCTTCTATGAAGGACAGGACTTGCAGAAGTGGGTGTGTGGGAGAGCAAAAAGATACTGTTGATCTTCAAAGAGCATCTCCACAACCCACAGCCTTCTTCCCAATAGTGTTAACTGCATTTTTACAGCGTAGCATGTGTGTAGTTTTGGCTATTACTGGTGTATTGTTTGGGGTTGGGAGGGGTGGGCTGGGAGGAGGGGAGGCGAAGATAGGATCATTTGGATTTAAATTTGGGGCTTGATTGGGGAACCGGTGAAACAATGGAGAGAACACCGAATGATTTGGTTCCATGTTCAGAATATTTTACCTTTTCAAAAAAAAAATAACATAGACACCATAAATAGGGGCTGTGTAGAGACTGCTGAAAAGCTGTGAATGAGATGTTCCCTGACTCGGCTTCATGCTGCCTATGAGGCTAAGCCAGTTCCTAAATTACCAAAGCTGCCACTGTGGAGAGGGCAACAAATTGAGGCTGGGGGGGGGGGCGCAAGGGGGGGTCCTTTATTGGAGAGTATACACAGGCAGACCATTCTGTCTTCAAGGTGCTAAATCTTGAAATTAGAAAAGGATCCCTCTTTTTTTTTTTTTCTTCCAATTATGTTTTCAATTTGTCCACTTAAGCCACTGGCTTGAATTGTTTGGGGAGGGCTGAGGGATTGTAGGAGATAGAAGAGCTTCATGCTCTTACAGTAAAGCCTTGTGATCTGTTTTTTGATCTTTGAACTCTGAGACCATTAGTGTCAGGGTTCAGTCACAGCACAAATTCATTGAGTCGCTCCAAGGGTTAATTATTCCAAAAGCTCTGGTCTCAGGAGATTAACCTTTCATACTAGGGCAGTGCTTTCCTCAAAAAGTACAAAAAAAAAAAAGTACAAAACAATTGTAAGATTTAACAGCTACCCAAAAGTATCCTTTTGTCTTTTTTTTTGGTGTCCCCCTTCCCCCCCACTGAGACAAGGTCTTGATATATAACTTAGGCTGGCCTTGAACTCTCAATCCTCCTGCCTCAGCCTTCCAAATGCTGGGATTATAGGCATATACCACCATGTCCAGCTAAAATTACTCTATGGATTCTTGACATTAAGACCTACATCTACATTGTAAAATCTTTTTAGGCATGTGTTAGACATCTGTGAAACTTTTGTTTAACTGTACACTTCATACCATACTGTCAGTTTTTGTCTTAATAAAACTATAGATTTATAATCCCGGGTTTCTTGTCTTTTTTTTTTTTTTTTTAATAGTATGTTGCTATGTTGTCTGGGCTGGCTTGAAATTTTGATCCTCCTGTCTCAGCCTCCTCAGGACTGGGGTTAAAAAAATACAAATAGGCACAACACATCTTAAGTAAGCTTTGGGAAATGTTCAGAGAACATTTCTTCAGGCAGTGCAAAAATGTGTTTATTGGATATCTTCCATGAAATTACAGAATACTGTAAACCTCTGGCCCAGGAGTTGCATATGAATTATTTACTACCTTAGTTACTATTAGGAAAGGAGAGCTGATTAATATAGACGAAGTGTCAATACTCAGGCTGGAAAGGTGGCTCAGTGGTAGAGTGCTTGCCTTGCATGCATGAGGCCCTGGGTTCAATTCTTCAGCACCACATAAGCAAAAAGAAAAAAAGCCGGAAGTGGTGTTGTGGCTCCAGTGCTAAAGCGCTAGCCTTGAGTTGAGGGACAGCGCCCAGGCCCAGAGTTCAGGCCCCACAACTGACCAAAAAAAAAACAAAAGTGAAGTGTCAGATACTGATAGAGCCAATCAAAATCTTGCTCCTCCAGTCTTTAGTTGGATTTCGGCAGGTACCTGGGGCTTGAACCCAGAGCTTCCACACACACCACTGATGTTCTACCACTTGAACCATGCCTCCAAAACCCGTTTTTTGCTGGTTAATTGGAGAATGGGTCGAGCTTGGGCAGGCTTAGAGCCCTGCTGGCTTCAGATACTGCTCCTCTGGCCCTCAACCTCCTAAATAGCTAGGATTTTAGGGTTGAACAACTTGCTGCTATGGCCTCCCAAGATTGAGATTACAAGTGTGTACCACTACCAGGTACAATACAGGTTTTTAATAACCTTATTTAAATCCTTAGTTTCAAATATTCCAGAAAAATTCTGTGGTCGGATTCAGTTCAATTTTTTTTTTTTTGTCAGTTGTGGGCTTGAACTCTGGGCCTGGGCGCTGTCCTTCAGCTCTTCAACTTAAGGCTATAGCACTCTACCACTTGAGCCACAAAACTACCTCCAGTTTTCTAATGGTTAATTGGAGGTAAGAGCCTCATGGACACTTTGAACTGTGATCCTCAGATCTCAGCCTCCTGAGTAGCTAGGATTACAGGCATGAGCCACCGGCACCCGGCATTTCAGTGTCTTTGATCCTTTGGTATTTGTCTGTAGCCTAGCACATCTTTATGGTCCATGATCCATGGCATTGGAATATGAATTACAAGGCAATTCCCTTACAGTAAAGGAAGGAGGGGGTGCAAAATGGTAAGATTAGATTACTACTGCAAAATAATTTGGGATAGAATTTGTGTGTATTGATGCTTGAATTGGGGCCTCATGTGCTCACTCTGCTTGTGCCATGCACAACTGGTGCTGTATCAATTGAGACGCCTCCACTAGCAGATTTTTACTGTTTAGAGCTTAGAGTCAGTTTTGTCTGCCCACAGTGGCTTTGAACCTTGATCTCAGATTTAAGCCTGAGTAGCTAGGATTACAGGCATGAATACCTGACAGGGGTGCTTGGCAAGAACTAGAATTCTGAAACCCAGATCTGGTTCTCTCTACAATACCTCCAGATTACTGAACTGTGGAGGCAGGAATATCTGTGCACATTAGGCTTTTCCATAAGTCTTCATTTAAAACTTAAGATTGCTAGGATAGGAAATGGAGGTGCAGTTCGAGTGGTAGAGCTAAGTGAAAAAAATCCAAGGGAGAGCTCCTGGTCCTGGTTTCAAGGCCCAGTACCAACATCCCACCCCCACCCCCAAAAAAAGACTGAGCAGAACTATGTCCAAGCTCACGGCCCCCTAAAATCTGAATGAAATGTAATCAGTTTAAAGGGTGCTTTTTAAGAAATGATCATTGGGCTATTTTAAACTCACCTAGAAAGTATAGCCTCACAAGTAGGCTGTAGGTATGGTATATATGTGCATGCAATCCATCAACTGAAATGCAGTTGTTGCATGGAACATAATTGTGCAAATACCACCAACAGGCCAGCATTCACCTTGTAAAAGTCTTGGCATTTGGTTTAGGGAACATGTGTCAAATAGAGCCATTTAGTTTTGATCTGGGATTAAGTTTGAAAGGAGCTGTTTTAATATCTTAAAACAGCTGTCAGTCTCTGTATTATCACTTTGGTTTAGCTATGTTCAGCATTAGAATTTGCTCTGCCTTATCCAGTGTGTTGTTTAAAGTTGTTCATTTCTTGTAACACAGCTAACTTCTCATTGTCCTGCCTTATATGCTTTTTACTAAATATACTGCTGAATGTGAAAGTAAATGAAAGAAAACCATTCTGGAGGAAGAGCATAGTTGGCCATGTTGGAGATGGAGAAGCAAACAAAGTGGTCTCTAAGGCTTTTTTGCTTGCATAGGCCAGTTAGGCAAGGCTGAAACATTTAAGTATAGAGTATATGATGACTATTTGGCTTTTGGTTTTGGTTGATATTTAAATGGCTTAAGATATTCAACAGGAAAACTGGGTCTGCATTGTGCTTTTTCTCTTGGTACCAAAACCAATGCTCACCCCACATGGATTTTATTTTTTTGGTCGGTCGTGGGGCTTGAACTCTGGGCTTGGGGGCTGTCCCTGCGCTCTTCAGCTTAAGGCAAGCACTCTACCGCTTGAGCCACAGTGCCACTTCCGGTTTTCTAGTGGTTTATTGGAGATAAGAGTCTCACGGACTTTTCTGCCTTGGCTTTGAACTGTGACTCTCAGATTTCAGCCTCCTGAGTAGCTAGGATTACAAGTGTGAGCCAGGCTAAGAAGCTGTGTCCCACCTACTCAGGATTCCATCCCCAGGAATGAGCAAACCATTCTCAGTAAGGTGGAAGGATCACTTGAGTTCATGAGTTTGAGATCAGCCTGGGCAATTATAGGGACCCTGTATCTCCCGCCTCCGCGGTGCACCCCCCCCCCGGAAAAAAAAAAGGTGGCAGTACATGGCTGGTATGGCTCAAAAGGAAAAGTTTGGGAAGTACAAGCCAAGTTCAAACTCCAGTAATAAACACCCTCTCCCCTCCACCCCCACCCCCCAAAAAAAGTAAACAAAGGCTTCAGTCCAGTGACTGAAAACACTCCTCTTGGATAAGGTTTTCACACCACTGAAGACAGCTTGTGCACCAGATTCCTGATTCAGGTATACAGAAACCTTCAAAGACTGATTTAAAAAAACAAACACTAGAACTCTACTGTTAATATTTTACATGTATCCCCACTGTTTTCAAATGCTCCATTATCTACTGCAGTGTTCAGAACCAGAGATAAGAATGGTGACAGAATTCTGTTTGAGGAAATAGATTAGAAAGGTTACGGTTGGTACACTGATAAAATGAGTAGTCAATGGGTTTGTGAGCCACTTGTCAGATGGGACAGAATGTATCAATGACAAAAATCAAGCTTAACTGACGAGCACATTGGTTCTCCTACACAATATCCATAGCTGAGGAATGAGTTCTGGAAAGGCAGACACTAGTCTAGTAGGTGTTTCTGTATGGATACCAGTGGGAACAGAGTTCTTGCTCTCCACCTGTGCACCAGGTAGTTCTCTGAACTAACTTAAGAGGTTCTGAAGTTACTACCTTGGGTCACTGCTCAAAGGATGAAACAGAACTTTTGAGACAGATAAGGAGGTTGGTTTTTTGTTTTTGTTGTTTTTTGTCAGCTGTGGTCTGGAATTCAGGGCTTGGGCACTGTCCCTGAGTTTTTTTGTTCAAGGGTAGCACTCTACCACTTTGAACCACAGTTCTTCTGAATGTCTGGTTAATTGGAGATGACAGTATCACAGACTTTCAAGCGCAGGCTGCCTCTGAACCAATATCCTCAATGTCAGCCTCCCTGGATAGTTAGGATTACAGGCATGAGTCAACAGTGTCCTGCTGAAGAGGCTTTGAGGGTTTATTTGGGGGGCTTGAACTCAGGGCCTGGACACTGTCCCTGAGCTTCTTTTGCTCAAGGCTAGCACTCTACCACTTGAGCCACAGTGCTACTTCTGACTTTTTTCTGTTCATATAGTACTGAGGAATGGAACCCAGGGCTTCATGCATGCTAGGCAAGCACTAAGCCACATTCCCAGCCCAAGGGGGTTATTTTTCTACAAGGCACTTATTCCAATTGTTTACCATACAAGTTTGTCTAGTTTAAGTGAGAGTTTTAAAAGCAGGAATGAGGCCAGTTTGAGGAAGTTAGGGTTCAAAAATACACACACACACACACATAACTGATTTTTCCCTGGAAGAGACAGTCAGTCAGTCAAGGAGGCTAATCTTGATGAAATTAAAAGCTTGTCCTTAGATAAATTGTTTCCCATTTCAGATGTTTTTTGTAGTTGTTGTTTGGGTTATTTGTTCTTTTGCCGGTCCTGGGCTTGAACTCAGGGCCTGGGCACTGTCCCTGAGCTTCTTTTGCTCAAGGCTAGCACTCTACCACTTGAGCCACAGAGCCATTTCTGGCTTTTTCTGTTTATGTGTTACTGAGAAATCGAACCCAGGGCTTCATGCATGCTAGGCAAGCAATCTACCACTAAGCCACATTCCCAAACCTATTTTTTTTCTTTTAAGATAGGGTCTCACTACCTCCCAAGTACTGAAATTAAAGGTAGTTTCTACCCAGCTAGTTCTATAGGCTTGTTTTTAAAGTGAAAGTGGCGGTAGGTAAATTTATTAGGCAAGGAATACACTTTCGGTTAGGACTAGGTTGTTTCAGAGGGCCCTAGTTCTGCTTTTATTGATAACGCAAATAAACTCACTTATACAATAAGTCTGTTTCCCATCTTACAAGAGTAAGATGGCCGGGCGACAGTAACATGCCTATAATCCTAGCTACTCAGAAGGTTGAGATCTAGGGGTTGATATTTAAAGCCAGCCCAGGCAGCAAAGTTCATGAGACTCTCATCTCCAATTAACTAGCAAAAAAAAAAAAAAAAAAAAGGGAGGGGGGCAAAAAGTGGAGCTGTTGTAGAGCATTAACCTTGAATAAAAAAAACACACAGACAGTGCCTAGATACTGAATTCAAACCCCAGGAATGGCACTTAAAAAAAAGATATAGCCAGGCGCAGGTGGGTCACGCCTGTAATCCTAGCTACTAAGGAGACTGAGATCTAAGGATCCCGGTTCAAAGTCAGCCTGGGCAGAAAAGACCGGGAGACTCTTATCTCCAATAAACCACTCAGAAAACCCGAAGCGGTACTGTGGCTCAAGTGGTAGAATGCTAGCCTTGAGCTGAAGAGCTCAGGGACAGCGCCCAGGCCCAGAGTTCAAGTCCCATGACCGACCAAAAAAAAAAAGGCTCTAGGAAGGTGGCTCAGTGGTAGAGCGCTTGCCTTGCATGCATGAGGCCCTGGGTTCCATTCCTCAGCACCACATAAGCAAAAAAACCCAGAAGTGGGGCTGAGGCTCAAGTGGCAGGGCACTGGTCTACAGCTGAAGAGCTGAGGGACAGTGCCCAGGCCCACAGTTCAGGCTCCACAACCAACCAAAAAAAAAAAAAAAGATATATTGGAAAAACCTTTTTGGTTCTGTGGCTTGACCACTGGATCTGGGCATTGTTTCTGAGCGTCTTTTGTTCCTTCTGGTTTTGAATAATTTATTGGAGATTAAGTCTCATGGACTTTCCTGCCCAGGCTGCCTTTGAACCATGATCCTCAGATCTCAGCCTCCTGGAATAGCTAGGATTACAGGCGTGAGCCACTGGCACCCAGCTTAGGAAAGTCATTCTGAACAAAGCCTAGGGACTGCTTAAAAGGACAAAGCAAACTGCTGCTAGACACTCTCAGGTCACCCTGAACAGGTAGGTACTTAAGACTAAAGCCTGTCTGTCTCTGCTTCATACCAGGATGCATTCTTACCTCCAGTTTAAGGTAGATGGGTTTGTGATAAGTAGCCCAGCCACAGGCCTAAGTTCTCATATGTTCCTGCCAGGAGCACAGAAGCTTCAACACCTCACTCTACCTGCCAGCAGCAAAATGTAGTCAACCCCAAAGCACTGCTGACCCAATTACATCTCTGGTGCCAAGGGGTAGTAACAAAAGTACACTCACACAAGGACTTGGACGAGGGAAAACATTAGCAAGAGGGCAAAGAGAGAAAGCATTCAAAAACATTAAATAACTTTACAGTATACCCTAATTAATAAATTTTATTTTAATTACTGACTTGGACTAAAGATCTTTAAGTTTACTTTTTCTGCTTTAAGAATCTGTTTCATCTGGCTTACAGACATAAATCAATTCTTAGAAGAGCTCGTTTGTGGTTACCACCCCTTTCTAAGTGGAGATGATTTGGGGAAAACTATAAATTGAAACCAGAAACTTTGTCCAGTAATCTCAGAGGACACCAAGTAAGCTTTTTCACCAGAATCATCTCGCATTCTGAGCACCCACCAAGGAGAGTCTAAATGCTGTACAGCTCTTCCCAAGCTGAGGACTAGAACAAACTCCACTTACATGGGCTGAGGGTATTTTCTAGCATGTCACACTCCTTGGAGCTTTGCTTCCTGTTTTTTGTTCTGTGACAGCAGTATGGCCACTGACCTCTCAGGTTTTCATGACTATACTCTAGGGCTCTGCACCTTTGGCAGGTGAGGCTACTAGAGAAAGTTCTGTCAGGATTAAAAATGCAATTTGTAGCAGGTGGACAGCAAAGGAGCGGTGATATAACCATCATTTCTCTATGAGAAATGAAATTCTGAAGGATTCTGTCTGAATTCTTCCTTGACAGGTGTGTGATGCAGTATTTAAGATTTTTTTTTTTGGTCTTTTAAAGTTCTCCATTATCACCTCCCCAGCTGGCCACGCACCCCCTTCTCCACTGGTACCGCCCAGCCACACAACGGGCAACGCTCTCCTCACAGGGCCTGTTCCCTTCCTCAATCTAAATTCAAAATGGGGAAAAATTGCACTTGAGATTAATCATCCATTTTATTTTATTTTATTTTGTCATGTGCTCACAGCATCTTTCTCTCCTCTCCCTGGCAGGTCACAGACATAAATTAAAAATAAAATCTACAAGGAAAATAATTTATAAAAAGCACTCCCAGGCTTGCGCCTTCTATTCCTACTGCTCAGTTTGGAACCCCCTCCCCCACAGGGCAGGGAAATCAGTGATTCCCCCCCACCCCCCCAATCTACTCCTGCTGGTCTGGAGTAGACAGTACTCCAAAGCTGGGCAGAGGTTGACGCAGCAGTGGCAAAGCCACACACACAGACACTGTGGTCTTGGAGCTAACTGGCCACCGTGGCACTCGCATTCCTTCCCTCTTTCAGGATGTTCTCCGACAGCCCAGGTTAAGCTGGGACTATGGAGACACAGCCGATGGCCAAGACCCTGGTGCTAGGTGCCCTCAGCCACCATTACATGCACTTCTCATTCTAGAAAGAAACCCCAACAAGCAAGCAGACAAGACCTTGAAACAGAGGAGAAAAGCCTCAAGTGTTCACACAGTAACACGGAGTCTTTATGGCAAAGAGAACATTTAGCAGCTTTGAATATTGGGGCATCTCCTTTTTACTCAACACAGGCATTCTAGACCCTATAGGTAAAATGGGGCACAAGCCCCAGTTTAAAAAGTAAAATAAAATCAAAGCGCAAGAAATTCTAAGGACTAGTTTTTCTCTTGGTGCTGGGTTTTGTAGGGATTTTTCTTTTTTTTTTTTTCCCCCAGTGACAAGCCCAGACCTGAGGGAAGAGGCCCAGTGTTGTGCTCAATACTGCTGGCAGGTGGCTGCACCGGCATCTCCCTGAACATCATCCCCTGCCTTGGTTCAGCCCCTGAGGAGGAAGCTGCAGGCCCATCACCCTACTCCTGAGAGCTACAGGCAGCTAGTGAGGGTGCGGACCACAAACTCAGGGTGCAAGTGGGAGCGGTACAGTATTTCCATGCAGGCTCTGATGGAGACCGTCAGACAACCTCAGCTCAAGAATGGCTGGAGGCCGGATGGAGGCGGCAGTGACAGGGTAGCAACTGACATGCTTAGTGTTGGGACTGTGGCAACATGGCCTCATTACCTTTTTCTGTCCCTCTGCCCTCTGGCCTGAAACCAAGCCAGTGTTGGGTCCCCACAGATTCCACTTAACTGAAACGTTACAAGTGACTTCCCAAGAGCTCTCCTCAGGGATGCCAAAGCACAAGGAACAGTAAGAGTTAAAACAGAAAGAGAAAAAAAAAAAAGCCTCCTCCCTGGCCCCTCCTCTACCTGTGTACCCACTCTTGGATAAAATGGGGTTTATCACACCAGTCACTCAAACCTGCTGCCTAGAATCCTGGCCAAAGCCCACCATAACCTTCCCTTTGATTTTCTAACTGCTTTGATTTTTGAAGGGCTTCCTTCCTTCCTTTCTTCCAGGAATGACACTTGTTACCACTTTTCCTTTCACAACTCTTTTCCATCCCCTTGGTTACCTCCACTCTACATAGCTGTTCTACCTCCAGCAATGCCAGCACTACTCTTCCCTTAAAGAAAGGGGTAGAGTGGGGACCCCAGCCACCCAAATGGTCTGGTCACTTCTACCCCAGAAGGGAAGCTGCATGAGACAGCGCCTGCGCCCACCTCTTCCTATGCACTGACCCGCAGTCATCCCATCTGAGAAGATATATTGGATAAGAAGGCATTGATGTCCCCACTGTCGGTCCAGGTCCAGGCCCAGCCCTTCTCCAGCTTCGGTCATAGTGAGTGCCCACCCCCTACCCACCCCAGCTCACTTCCTCCTGTCCTTTGGCTTCCTCTCCTGCCTCCGGGCCTGTTGGTCAGCCATAGTGCGAGGAATGAGGAGGACACTGCCGTCCCCAGCATACTGGAGCGCATACTGACTAGGCGAGTAGGGCCTCCCGTTCTCATCCCGCAGCCGCCCAAACACCTCCTGGTACAGGCTCTGGACCTTCTGCTTCATCTGACGCAGAGATCGCAGGAACTCCACTTTCTCCCGCAGCAGTCGGGCCTTATCACGCTGCAGGTCCTCAACATCCCGCTCCAGGTTCAGGATCGTGTCCAGCTTGCGCTTGCGGCAGTTCTGAGCAGCCATCTTGTTCTTGCCCCGACGCCGGATGTCCCGGATGAGGCTCAACTGGGCCTCGCTCAGCTGATATTTGGACAGCAGCTGGTTGAATTCCTCTACAGGCAGGTTGATAATTTTGTCGTTGGTGAATGGTATCTTCATGGCTCTGGCTCGGTGCTCATCCCGGCTCATCTGTTTGTCCAGGAAGTCAGCCTGTTTCTCCTTGCTACCTTTCTTGAGGGTGCTGGGTGGTGGCAGGTCAGCAGAGTCAAGGGCACTGGGTGCCATGTTGTACGTGTGGTTGTGACCCACATGCTCCAAGTAGGGCAGGCAGGAGAGCTGCGACGGATCCTGGTAGCTCATTCGGCAGAACTTGGAATACTCAGGCTGGTAGCCCACTGCGCCCTCACTCTCTTCCAGATCCAGGGTCTCAGAGTCAGAACTGTAGCCAACAGCACCTTCCTCCGAAAAGGAGGAAGAGGCAGAGGAGGAAGCAGAGGAAGAGGAGGAGGAGGAGGAAGAGGAGGAAGAAGAGCTGCCCTCAGAGCTGCTCAGGGAGGAAGGGCTATGGCTAGAATCTAAGGAGAGTCCTGAGTCAGAGTCAAACTCCTCCTCGAGTTGGGAGGCCTGCACAGGGTTGAAGCCCTCCTCAATGGCCAGGTCCATCAGGCTGATCTCATCCAGCATGGCTTCATCTAACAAGCCCCCCAAAGGGTCAGGCAGTTCTGGGCCTGCTGTGTCATTGGCTGTGCCATTGAGCTGGGGTGGAAAGAAGAGCCCTGCCAAGTTGGTGGAGCCGAAGGTGGAGTTGAGGCTGGTGGAGTTGCTGGGAACCAGCGGGAGCAGTGTGGAGCTGCCAGCCACAGGCAAGCTCTCTACCTCAGGGCTGAAGAGTGAGAAGTCCTGGCCGCAGCCCCCCAGGGATGCCTGATGCAGGCTGACATTCTGATTGATGGGAGTGTTGGGAGCAAGGCTGTAGTTGGTGCCCAGGGGGTCTCCAGAAGGGGCATTGTACAGAATTTCACTGGCTGATGTGTTCACTTCCATGGCCTAGAAGGGACAAGAGCACCAGAGTTCACTAGGAGCAGACTCCTCCCAGGGCTCCCACCTTGCAGGCCCCTAACCCGAAGCGCAACTGTCTGGACACAACAACAACAGATTGGACAGCAAAGTCTAGGGTCAGTTCCTGGCCCCAGTTTGGACCCTGTGAGGCCCAGCAAGGATAGTTCCTTCCTGTGGGTTTTACTCCAGTTACAGGAATGACCAGCCTCTATTTGCGTGTGGCCAGATACCCCTATTTTCGAGAGAGAGGGAATCAGCACCAAGAACTTGGACTTGAGTCAGAAATTTAGCTGCGCAGCTTTTGTGTGATCACTGCCATGTCACCTGACATCTCTGACCCTCAATTTCCTCACACTTCAAATAACAAAGGAGACTGCAGTCTAGCTTAGTAGTGCTTGCCTAGCAGACACCTAGGGTTCAATCCCTAGCATGACAAAAAAAAAAAAAAAAGTAATAATTATATGATTAGGAGAGCAAAGGGAAATGAGGATGGCCATAAAGCACTATGTGAATATCACCCAAGGGATGGGCTGAATTAGAGGAAGAAGGCACACCTACAAGGCAGGCCCTACTTTAGAAGGCCTTTTAACCCAACCCCACTTCAACTGTACCTTCCCCACACCCCAGGAGATAACCTGGATAGGTTACCTCTCAGTATCCCCACTGTCCTGTAGGCCAGCCAAATGAAGCGTTACCCTGTACTTAGAGGTGCAGATAACATGCTGGGACACACTACAGGAAAGCCATCAGGTTACGCTGTTCTGATAACCTTACCTGCATTTCCATGATGGACATGAGATCTTGCCACTGCTGTTCCAAATCAAATGGCGACTCTGTCCCCGTCAGGAGAGGAGACAAGAGGCTGTTCTGAAGAGCTGGGGACTCACTCTCACTAGGCACTGCTTCTGTGATGCTGGCAACATCTGCTGGGAACTAGACAGCACAAAAGGCATCGGTGAGGAAGACCACCTTCGGCTTTCCTCACACTGGTATCATCACATGGTCTTCTTCTGAATTCACCCCCAGCAGCCAAGTCAAGGTCAGAACCCAGAGCTGGTCCTGCGGACAACTATGGAGGGACACACCAGGTGCAGGCCACCCTGCTGGCTCAGTGGGCTCCCTCTGATCCTGCATACTTCGGCGTATTTCCAAAAGGGACAGGTGGCCTCTAGCAGCCTAAGGCCATCCAGAGACAGGATTTTCTGGTCCTCCAACTAGGCAATTTTTTTTTTTTTTAATTTTTTGGTCATGGGGCTTGAACTCTGGGCCTGGGCGCTGTCCCTCAGTTCTTCAGCTCAAGGCTAGTGCTCTACTGCTTGAGCCACTGCACCACTTCTGGCTTTCTGGCGGTTAATTGGAAATTAAGAGTCTCATGGACTTTTCTGCCAGGGCTGGCTTTGAACCGCGATCCTCAGATCTCAGCCTCCTCAGTAGCTAGGATTACAGGTGTGAGCCACCGGCATCCGGCCCAACTAGGCATTTATGGCAACAGCATCTGTAAGTCTGGCTGGCCTGGGCTCCGGCTGACTACGGAGACTGCTACCTCTTCCTCAGCAATGCTGCAGCCTGTAGTTACCTTCCTGTTTCAACTACTGATAGATCCTGAGTCTCAGACACAAAGGAGAAGGGGAGAGTCCTTAGATAAGCACCAAGATGCTAAATGCTTTGCCTCCTCTGTGCTGTCTATTGCCAAAGCCTGGCACCTGTGAACCAACTGCCATCCCCTTCCCATTATAGAGCCCCACTACTGTGACTTTGTATTCCTCAAAGCCAAAAAAATTCAGGTCCATCCACAGACATAACCCTCCTCTAGGGGAAGGGAAGAAGGACTTCAGCCTTTAAGTGTGAGAGAGCAGGTAGCAGAGAGGCCAGTAGCAAAGGCGCCAGTACCTGTGCAGTGAAGCTCTCCCCAGTCTCTCCGTCCACTAGCAGGTCTCGGGCCAGAGCTTCCGCACCCTCGCCTGCCCAGGTGTCCTCCTGCTCTCCTCCATCTCGAAGTTCCTTATCCACATCCTGTTCCTTCTGGCGATGACTGTAGTCAAAAACCTCACGCCCAGCCCCCAGATCAATATCCTGCCGCCAAAGGATGTCAATCAGATCTATGTCCTGAAAGACAGACCATGATGGCTTTAGCTCTCAAGACCCCAGAGGCTTCTCCTTGTTCTGCTCCTCATGGTCCCTCCTAACGCCATGCCAGTCCTGGGTGGGGCCCCTCCCAGCTCCACACTCTTTACCCTCTGGCTCCTCCACATCAGCAAGGCTTCATTTATACATTTCCAGGGCAAAAGAGAAACAGTAGCAAAAGCCACTAGCATGACTAGCATCACACAGGTCTGAGGGTCTGTGGACTAGAGACATACCTGGGGCCAAAGGGCAGGGCCAACCCACCCTACATAGTAAGAAAGGAGAAGGAAACGTAACACGTCTCTGATTTTGGAATGGGAACCCTGAGAATGTATTTTGTAGAAGGCTGGCCTCAGCAAGCACGGGTGAGCTATGATGCAGAATTGCCGAGCAGTGGGCAGGCTTGCATCAGCCTGTGGTGCCACTGCTTTGCATAAAGGGGTGGGGTGATTGGGAGAGGAAAATCCCTGCATTTCCAACCACCTGATGCAACCAATGACAAGAATAGGCTGTCCCCAGCCCTTCCTCCAGCCATTCCCCCTTCAGAGACTGACAGCAGGAGTAAGCTTGAACACCTACAACTCTTAAAGCCCAGGCTCACCTCAAGATCCATCTCTGTCAGAATCCCATCTCAGCTGATGCTAGCAAGCTGCCTCGATCCCAGGGGAGCCTCAAGCAGTCAAATGATCCTCGTTGGGCACCCACCCCTGCCGAGGGCGGCCCTACTACCTCCCCTCACCACACCCAGCTGCCCATCAGTCAACCCACTCAAGGACATAACCCCAAGCACAGCTCAGCTCCAACCACCACCTTAGACATCAAAATACCTCCCTCCGGCTCTGTCCCATGGCTCCTGAACGGTTCCTGCACCAACTGCCGCCCACATAAAACCCCATCAAGCCATCTGGGCTTCCTATACATGCCACTCCCTTTGGCAAAGTCCTCCCAACAAGCCTGAAGGGACCCTAAAGTGCAGCCTCCCATTCAGAGATTAAGAAGCAGACATGGACTTTCCAGCACAGCATCCTTAGCTCAGACCCACCTCCCTGTCCCTAAGCAGGTACTATACCCCTTCCCACTCAACCCATCCGTTTCCACCCTAAGACCCCTAAAACCTCCCCTAAGTTCCTCTCCCTTCAATCTCCCATCGCACACCAACCTGAGCAGGAGCCCTGGACCCAGGAACAGAGGGGGGCTGGGCCACCCGGTGACCAGCCAGTAAAGAGTTAAGGGGCTGGTTGCCTTTGGCATGGCCCCCACCACTGTGAGAGCTGCGGTCCAGGCGGGTCATGGTCTGGGAGAGGAGCCCCAGGGCAGCCGGTGCCGGGAAGCCGGACCGGGGGCTGCAAGGAGCTCTTGGCTTTCAGGGAGCACACCAGGCTGCAAGGGTGGCCCCTTGCTAGCTCCAAGGGGCCCGAGGAGGGTGCCCCGCCCGTGCTGCTGCCTGGGCGGCCCAGCCCAGCCCCCTTCCTCCATCCTGGAGCAGCCCCCTCCCACCTCACAACCCCAGTTCCACTCAAGCGCCCAGCAGCCCCCACCCTGAGCTCACCGCAGAGGCTGCAGTGAGACGGGACTCCCACCCCATGCTCCGTGCTCACGATGCAGAGGAAAGCAAGCTCCCTCCTGGACCTATCCTCCCGCTCCTCCCTCTCCCCCTCCCCACGCCCCCCAAACTTGTTACCTAGGCTGCCGCAAGGAGCCAATCCCCTCCCCCTCCCACCCTGCAGGTCACTGCTGAGGCTGCAGAGAGCCAATCCCCTCCCCCAGGTCAGCAGCTGGGCTGCGGAAAGAGCCAATCCCCTCCCACTGTCGTTACCTAGGCTGCGCCGGGAGCCAATCTCCTCCCCCAAGTCTCCGCTGGAGATGCGGATGGAGCCAATCCCCTCCCACCGCCTGTTACCTAGCTGCAGATGGGAGCCAATCTCTGCACCAGGGCAGCTGGAAAAGCTGCCGCAAGGAACCAGCCCATCCCTGGGCCGCCTCCGTCTCCTTGAGGAGATGCACCCAGGGGCGGGCAGCCCCACCCAGCCCAGTCAGTCAGCTGGGGTGGCGCAGTGAGCGCCCAGGGGGGAAGGGGTGCCATTCTCCGCCCTCTTGTCGCATCTCGCTTCCCCAGCCCACTAGAGACTGGGCAGACACTCCTGCAGTTTCACCCGGAAATTAAATTCTTTGCTGGGAAGGGAAAGGAGTTTTTTCTATTCCTTAGGAAGGAGGTAGCCAGTTCCCAAGGCCAGGGCTCACAAGCCAGGCTGAGCAGAAACCTAATGCACTCAAGCCAAATAAAAAAGGGCAAAGGCAGGAGCTTTGTCACCCTAAAGCAGGCCAGACTGGAGGAAAGGGGAAAGCCATTTTTTGCCCAAATGTAACAATGCCACAGTGCTGGCCAGACCCAAGACCAAACGGACAGACAATACAATTCTGAAGCCCAGCACAGGAACACATCCTGGCCACAAATATGCCTCCCACTTCCCCTTTCACTTCAGCTTTTTGTCGTTTTTAAGTTCTCTGCCTGACCCCTGGCCAGCATCTCTCCTTGGGGGAGGGGGGAGGGTGAGGGGAAGCCCCTGACAGAATCAGAATCACATCTCGGACTCCAGGATCAGTTTCTCAGGGGCAACTCAGTTCACTCTCCTCACTGCTGCTCTCCTGGAGCCTAAGGTCAGGTCAGAAAAGACAGTGTGTTCTCCCTGGTCACAACCTGCTCCTAGCCTGCAAAGAGCTGTAAACAGGCCACCCCCTGGTCTGGGCAGAGTGCCAACCTCCAAGGGAATCCTATCCTGACAAGGGCCTAAGTAATGGCAGCCATCGAACAGGCCTGGCAGTGGGGGAGCACTACCACCCCAGGGATAATACCAGCTCCAGCAGTGCCTGTCACATGCTCTGGACCTGGGTATTTTTATCCCAGAGTTGCTGAAGAAATGTTGTTCTAAACACATCATAATCTCTCCCCCCACTTTCCCAGCCTGGGCCCTTCATGCTGACCTACTCCACCTCCCCCAAAAAGTGGCGAAGGCCTGAGGTTAAGGAAAGCATGACTACTCAACGCCAAGAGAGTAGAGAAGTGGGGCTCAAAGTCCTATCCCACTCTGGCGCCAACCCACTGCGATACATCCAAGACATCCCACATCTATCCCAGAACTTCCTGAAGGGAGAGTAGCAGAACTACCACCTCCCCTCAAGGTTCCCAAAAGCTCTGTTCCACACCCCCTGGACATACTCCGGAGAAGTGACCAGAGGCCAGAGCATACTTCTTCAGCTAAGACTGGAGCTGGCTTGAAGGGCAGGGGATAGGAAAGCAGAAGAGGGGTGAGGCTCCAACCAGAATTGCAAGAATCTAAGAGACTGAAATGCAAGAGATGCTCCTGACTCCCATGATCAGATAATCCTAGCTTCTCTCAAAGCAGATCCAATAACAGCCAGCGGAGCAGAGAGCAGGTTTCCCAATCTCAGCACTATTGGCAACGGGGCGGGGGGGGGGGGTTCAGATAAACCTGCAGTTTGGGAGCTGTCCTGTGCTAGTCAGCAGCAGCATTGGCCTCATCAGTTAGATACTAGTAGCACACCCCCCCATGTGACAACCAAAATTGACGCTACATAATATACCACCTATTCCCTGAGGGGCAAAAAATCATCCCCAGATGAGGATCAGGGACTTAAAACAAACCATATTCTTTCCCAGTTACTTACACTCAAAGAAGTGAGGTCAGAACAAGCTCCCAAAGCAGGGCGTGGCCAGACTTGGTGGGCAAAGGGAGTCAACTTGAGCATAACCAGCTCAGAGCCATCCCAGAGCCACATAGCATCTTCCTCCCTAAAGGCCAATGGAATGCAGTGGGCCTTTTCACAAGCTAGGTGATTAGTGCAAGCAGTTTTATCACATTAGGTGACAAAAGGATAGGCCTAGCCATCTGCATTATAGAAAGCAAGAAACTGCATCCTTTCTGCCAGGAAAGGCAGTCAACCACAAGACAGCAGCAAAGGTAAAGATCACTTCTGACAGCTCAGGGTAAGCTGACCTAGGAAGCAGAATACAATTCTCTTGTAGCTTCCAGCCTTTTCTGCCTTATTCTCTGCAGTGGACTCTGGCAAACAATAGGCGCCTTGGCCTCTACTGGCCACGAAGAACTTATTCAAGTCTTTTCACTGGCTCAGGCCCAGAAGAACTGAGCTATGGGGACCTTACAATAGGCCTGACCATTGGAGAGAACTTTAGGGTACAGTATGCAAGTTTGATGTGGGGAAGAGGTACAAGGCAAGAACTCACACAGTATTTGTCTTAGCAACAGAGATACGCTGCATCAAAACCCATCACAACATGGCCCTCCCCCCTCAGGCCTCCAGCAGTCAAACTGAAATACAAGCAGTAAACACCCAGGCATGTTCTAGGCACCTCCCACTGTCCTGACAGTACATTTAAAGATGGGTCAATGGTTCTACACAGGGAAATGCTCCCAGCCCCCAACCCTAAAGCCAGACCCCTCAACCCATTCCTAGCCAAACTTTGTGCCTAAGACACCCCACCCTCCCCCACAATCTATAGACCTCAGTGCTAAATCCACAATGCTACAGAACCAGGCTTTATCCTCCCATCCCCCCCAGATCTCACCCACCCACCTACCACAGGGCCACTAACCTCTTTGGTTAAGTCTCCACTGACTGGAGGGGCTACAGCTCCCAAATCCTCCAAATCTTCACTGAATCCCTGCTCCGTTTCGCTTTCTCGCACCCCGTTGTCTGGGCCTGTCACATCTTGGAGGCCACTGGAACTCTCGAGGGCGAGGCCTGAGTTGGGCTGGCTGCCGGAGACAGACCCCTCCGGGTCCCGGTGAACCAGCCAGGCATTTACTTCAGTAGTTGGCACCTGGAACCTGTCCAGGGCCCTGACCTGACTGAGGAGCCGCCGGGCAGTGAAGTAATTGTCCAGGTCTATGCTCTTGGGGTGGATACCATAGCCATCCAAGGTATTCCTCAGGTTGTGGAACTGGGTCTGAGTATAAGCAGAGCTGGGCCCCAGGATGATCTCACGGAGTGGGGGGAGCTGTGAAGTCAGGTAAGTATCCACGTCCACCCGCACCCCAATCAGACTCAGCAGAATGGTGAACTGGAGAAGTCCTTCCGTTAAGTATTTCTTCAGAGAAAGCATTGCTGAAGGACCAGAATGTTTATGCTTTTTGGTTTTTAAATCTTCCAAAAGATAAAGCAAGGCCACTGCTCTGCCGCTCCAGCCAGCAGGTCACCCTTCTCAGTGCCAGACCCTGTTTCCCACCCTGACAGAAAACAAGGGCTGAACTCCCTGATGGCCCCAGAGGAAAGCACACCACGTGGAGCCAAGGCCACACTCCACACCACATTCACTTTTCCCTTCTGGACACCTCACCTCTGGAAGTACAACTGATCCTAACCCAGTCCAGGCACTCGGGGCCCACGTGACTTACTGTCTCCACAGTCCACATACAGTCACTTCCTCACTCACATTAGTTGTCCTCTCTGTAGATTCCACTGCAGGCTGTTCACAGGAACAGCTGAACGGTTTGGTTTGCTTTTGTTTTCTTTCTCCTTCCTAAGGTTTATTTTCTTTGGCTGCAGCTACAGGCCTTTTGTCTTGGGTCACAGTGTCCCGCCTCCGCCACACTTACCAGGGGGGTTTCCAGAGAAACCTGAAAAGGGAATCACAAGATCAGATTCCGTGTTTTTCACATCATGACACGGGTAGGAAAACCTTCAAGTAGAAGGTAGGAAACACATTAAAAGGTCACTCTGACAGGAAGAAAAAACACCAAACACTTATATTCTCAGAAATAAAAGCAAATGAAGGGCACATCTAGTAAGCACCAGACCTTGAGTTCAAACATTAATAAGAAAACAAACCCCCACAAACTGTTATGAACAAATCAGCAATGAAGATATTATAACAAAGAATTTCAATTACTGGCTATTAAATTTGCAATTCCCTAAAAAAAAAGTGGCTTGCTTTGTAAGTACACAATGCCCAGGGCATCTTACATATGATCTGATTTACCAATCTCCCTTGCCCTCCCCTCTCCACATTATACGCAGCATGTGCGCACAGGAGCATGCCCAAGCTTGCGCTGGTACTAGGGCTTGAACCAAGGGCCTGGCCACTCTTTCTTTTTTCAATCATGGGTAGGGCTCTACAACTTCAGCCACAGCTCTACCTCCTGCTTTTTGCTGTTTAATTAGAGACAGGAGTCTCATTAACATTTCCTGCCTGGGCTGGCTTCAAACCAGGATCCTTAGATCTCAGCCTCCTGTGTAGCTAGGACTACAGGCCTTGAGCCACCAGTGCCTGGCTCAGCTTCTATTTTTAGCAAAAGTTCATTTCCTATCTTAAAGGAAAGCTGGTTCCCCAAGTCTCAGAAACAAACTGTCTACAATTCCTCTCTCTCTTCCAATTGTAAAGGGGAGGGAGAGATTGTTAAAGGGTACGTTGGAGGGAAAAAAAACAGGAGGACAATGTCCAGGCCACCACTTCACACAAAAGAAAAAAGCCTTTTGTTTTCCCAACTTGGGGATCTAATTTCCTTTTCCTATCACTCCCTCCATGAGAGAGCAAAGGGGAAAAGGGAGGAAAGGAATGGAAGGACCTTCATATGACTGTTCCCACCCAGAATTTGCATAGGGAGCTTTTATCTTCATTCATATGACCTTCTGAGCACAAGCAGAAGGATATGGCCAAGTTCTCAACCCAGATTGCCAAATGGGGAGAAGGTAAATTTGCTTTTTCGTTTCTGCTTTCTACTTGGGCTTCCCTTAATCCCTAAACCACGACAGACTTCTCCTACATCTGCTCTGTAAGGACCCACCTTTCCAACTTTATTCCAAAGGGGACTCGGGATCTACACTACACTACATAATACACTACACACAACCCACCCACGCCTGCACACCCTCTACTCAATACAACTGCAATCCTGAACTCCTGTGTGCCTTACCCTCCCTTTCTCCTGCAATTTACTACTAAAACCTCCCAAGCGTCCCAGAAGTTTATTAAAACAGGACAAAGTTCTTTAAAGATCCGAATTTGGACTAGAGGACCCCACTCGGAGTTCGGTTCCCAACCCTGCCTTGCCCTGGATACCCGAGTCCGGCCGGATCCAAGTCTCCATGCCCAGTCTGGTGCCTCGGCTCCCAGCCTCCTGGAGCACCCGGCGAACAAGTGCGAGTTTCTTGGCCTTGACCCACCCTGAAAGGCGAACCTCACCCCGCCTTCCGTCCCGGTGGCCCCACCCCACTCCCAAGCCCGGGCCGCACACCACGCCTTCGGGCGCCCTCAAGCTTCCCGGGTCCAGCCCACCCAGGAACAGGCTTCGTGGGGCGCCCCGCGGAAGTCTCCGCCAGACCCAGGCCCCGGCTCTTCCAGGGGGGCCCCCATCAGCCGCCCCGCTCCCGCCGCCGGCCCCTCGGCCACAGCTCCCTCCCCTCACCCCATAAGCCTCGGCCTGGCTTGCACTGCACCCCTCCCGTCAGGGACAGCAATGTGCCTGGTACCCGCTGCTGGGCTCTGAATCCGCCGTGGCCGCCACCGCAAGCCCTCAGCCCGAGTCCCGGGCCTCGCCGCCGCCACCGCCGGCCGGCCTGGAGCTCCCAGCCTCCGCTTCCCTCCCCGCCCCCTCTTTCCACCGCACTCGGAAGCCCTCCTCCCACGGGCACCCTAGAAACAGTTCCACCAATCAGCTAGCCGGAGAGGCAACCGTCACCGGATGTGGCTCTGATTGACATCCCGGACAACCCAATAGCTAAGTGTGTCTCCTTCTTCCCTGGTCCGTTTCCTCAAAACAGACATGGCCCAAGACCCAATGGGTGTGTAAACCCGCCCCGTGGCGTGGGTCCGCCAATGAGTGGGGCGAAGGCCGTGGTGTCGGGCATTCTGGACTCCTGGGCCGCACGTTCGCGGCGGGTGGCGTACGGGTTAGGCGTTTTTGCGCACTCTGTAGCTGAGGCCTGAGATCCTAGCACGGGGAAAGAGGAAGAAGTATCGCCTCTGGAACGGCGATTCCCCTTGGATGGTTCCCACAGTGACTTGCAAAAGTCCAGTGAGATCCTTGAGCCCGAGGCGGAGCGCTGAACATGTGGTTCCCATGTTGCCGACGCTCGTGCCGCCATCTTGGGTACTGGCAACGTAAACCGGTGCGCCGGCTTCCTCTCCCTGCAGGCCTGGCGTAGTTAGCGAGTCGGGCGGTCGGACCCGGTGGTACGGACTACCATCGCTTCGTGGGATGTCGTCACATGGTGGCGGGATGTTGACGTCAGAGATGGGGCAGAGTCGCCATTTTTGTCGTCTTGGAACCCCACGAAAAGCTCGCCCCCCCTTCCCTAACCTCTTCTTCCTCTCCCCACCCCCCACTCTCGCAAAGCATAGTCTTGCTTTTCAGGAACTTTCCTAACTCTTCAAAGTGTTCAAGTCCCATCCGGCAATGTTGGTTAACTCTCACTGTTAACCGTGCAGCCCATCATCATTTGGGAAGCCTGTTATATAGACTCAGAGTCTGAGGCCTCTGGACATTCTGATTCAGTAACTTTGGGGCGGAGGCCTGAGCACCTGCCCTCTTGAGTAATGCACATAAATGCCGCTAGTTGAAGACCACATTTAGGAAATCATTGAGTTGGACTTTGCTCCCAGCTGTGAGACAAAGAGCCAATTCAAGTTCTCTTTGGAAGAGTCCATAACCTAGTGGGCTTTTCATTGTCCTTGTGCAATGAGGACAGAGTCTACTAATAGGACAGAGTCTATCTCCAGGCTCTGCTTGGAGATAGAGGCTTAAAATGTAGGGTGGACCACACACAGAGTATAAAGTGCTTTCTCTGGGGTTGGAAAAATGGCACAGTGGTAGAGCGCTTGCCTCCTATACATGAGGCTCTGGGTTGGATTCCTCAGCACCACATAAGCAGAAAAAGCCCTAAGTGGCACTGTGGTTCAAGTGGTGGAGCGCTAGCCTTGAGCTGAAGAGCTGAGGGACAGCGCCCAGGCCCAGAGTTCAGGCCCCACGAACAACAACAAAAACAAAAAAGAACTTTCTCTGCTGTAGATTCACATCAGCATGCATTCCTTGAATCCTTTGTTGTTGTTGTTTTGTCAGTCATGGGGCTTGAACTCTGGGCTTGGGCGCTGTCCCTAAGCTCTTCAGCTCAAGGCTAGCTCTCTACCACTTAAGCCACAGTGCCACTTCCAGTTTTCTGGTGGTTTATTGGAGATTAGAGTCTCTTGACTCTCCTGCCTGGGTTGGCTTTGAACTGTGATCCTCAGATCTCAGCCTCCTGAGTAGCTAGGATTACAGGTGTGAGCCACCAGCGCCTGGCTCCTTGAATTCTTATAAAACTATGGATTCAGAGGTGGAGCTGTGGCTCAAGTGGTATAGCACTAGCCTGGTGTGAAAAAACTCCAGGGACAGTGCTCAGGCTCTTGAGTTCAAGCCCCAGGAACCGTACCAAAAAATTAAGCAAAAAAAAAAAAAAAAACACCATGAGTGCTGAATTTTGTACATTAATAATAGTTAAGGGCTGATAGCATGGCTCAAGTGATAGAGCAGTTATCTATCAAGTGCAAGACCCTTGAGTTCAAATCCTGGTTACCACAAAATAATAACACTAATAATAATTGAAGAGAGTTAAATACATAGACCTGTGAATAGAAATTCCTTCTAAAACTAAGGGTTGGGAAGTAGTAGAGGGAGAGCGCCTGCCTAGCAATTGTTTCAAGACCCTAGTGCAGGGGGGAAAAAAAAAGTTTCCTCCAAAAACTAGATAAAGACTAGGAAGATAGGTCAATGGTAGAGCATTGACTACTTAACATTTTTAAGACTCTAGGTTCAATCCCCAGCAGACACTCCTCCAAAACAATGAAAGAAAAAAATATAATTCCAAGCAGAAATTAAAGGGTGTGGATTTGAAAAGTATGGCTGAGAAAATAGACTATTCAGCCACTAACTAGCAGGAAGCCAGGTGTAGCGAAGCATGACTATACTCAGGAGGATCTTGAGTTCAAGGCAAAGTTAGACTCTTACCCAAACAAAGGAGGAGAGGCCCTAGGGGTATATAACTCAAATGATAAAGCACTTGCCTACCAATCATGTGGTCCTGGATTCAATCCCCAGTATGCAGAAAAACATAATATTGCCAGTGATTAAAAAGGAGAAAGGCAGGGGGCTGGGAAGGTGGCTCAGCGGTAGAGCGCTTGCCTTGCATGCCTGAGACCCTGGGTTCCATTCCCTAGCACCACATAAGCAAAAAGAAAAAAAGCCAGAAGTGGCGCTGTGGCTCAAGTGGGAGAGCACTAGCCTCGAGCTAAAGAGCTGAGGGACAGTGCCCAGGCCCAGAGTTCAGGCCCCACGACTGGACCCAAAAAAAAAGGAGAAAGGCAGGAGGCTAAAGCAAGAATATTGCCTGAATTCAGGATTTCCAGTCTGGGAATTATAACAAGACTCGGTCTCAATGAATTAATTAATCTGGGAGGCTGAAATCAGGAGGATCTCGGTTCAAGGCCAGCTTGAGCATACTCATGAGATCCCTTCTCAATCAAAAGCTACATACAGTGACTTGAATCTGTTATCCTAGCTTCCTGGAAGGCTAGCCCAAAAAGTTAACTTTTATTTTTCAGAGATCCCTTGGTGTCAACAGTTCTTTTTTTGTTTGTTTGGTTTTTGGTTTTGTTTTTTAGTTTTGCCACTTCTGTTTTGGGTTTTTGTTTTGTTTTTTTGTCGGTTGTGGGCCTGAACTCTGGGCCTGGCACTGTCTCTAAGCTCTTCAGCTCAAGGTTAGCCATCTACCACTTGAGCCACAGCGCCACTTCTGGCTTTTTCTTTTTTCTTTTCTTTTTTTTTTTTGCGGGGGGGGGGGTGTCCGGTCCTGGGGCCTGAACTCTGGGCCTGGGCGCTGTCTCTCAGCTCCCCAGCTCAAGGCTAGCGCTCTACCACTTGAGCC